CCGTGTTAGAGAATAAAAAATACTCTCTCCAACTATCATGAGACGATTCATTATGTTTAGACTATACGGTAGACATCATTATTGCCATGATTTATTCTTCATGTTACTGTAGATATGCTTAGATGTGCAGGTTTAGGCCGCCGGCTAGCCTCCGTACAGCCTGTAACGTTAGCAAGGCTGATGGTTGAAACGTGTCGTCTTTCTTCAGTCTTCGGTTTTATTCATTCCACTTATTCGCTGTCGTTGTTTGGGTATTTCATTTAAACCTGGAAATGTTAAGAAATCAATTTTGTCTAATTGTAAATGAAGACGAGAAATGGCTGGTTAGCCCGGAAAGTTGCTAACGGCTAGCCAGCGTTACTTGTCATGCTTCTGCATATATGATGGCTCTTTGGTAGTAACCAGCCAAATCATTTTCATAGTACTTTATAGTTTATTAGTGTTTACTGGTGCTTACTAATAGTTTGTGCAGAAATGCAAGCAGCACAACAGCTTAGAGTTTAAGGTCTTAATACATTGCTGTTCTGCTGTTGTTAGTGCAATAAACCTAGGAACACATTCCAATAACATCACTGTGGTATCATAAATCATTGCTCATCTGAGACCCTAACAAACATCTACCTTCTTTTTACTTTGTGTCAGATGGCAGAGGGAGACAAAGCTGCCAAGAAGAAGAAGCACGGGAGCCGGAACCCGGTTCTGGCCCGGGGCATCGGTCGCTACTCCCGGTCCGCTATGTATGCTCGCAGGGCCATGTACAAGAGGAAGACCAAAACCACTGAGACCAAGGTAAGGGCAGACCTTTGACACCACACAAATCGTTTAATAATGGTCAAAGGCATGCCACTTTTTCTTTGCCACTTGTTTTGATGGTAATTTGTTCTCCTTCAGGTGGAAAAGAAGATCAAGGCTAGACCCAAGGCCACTGTCGTCAAAACTGTTGGAGGAGACAAGAACGGAGGCACTCGTGTTGTCAAACTGCGCAAGATGGTGAGTAATCCATATACATTTGTCCTTTCTATTAAGATTTGTTTTATGTAGGTAAAATTTGGAATTCTGTCTGTTCAAACACAGACACAGTTAATGCACACAGTGTTTTTAATCGTGCGTGATGTTTATTGCCTTGTGGTCATGTTGTGGTTTTTTTGGAGGCAAACATTTGTCCATAAAGTTTATATATTGACAACAACATACAACAGGAATCTAAAGTTTTATTTTCTACTCCGACAGCCCCGCTACTACCCCACAGAGGACGTGGCCCGTAAACTGAAGAGCCATGGGATCAAGCCCTTCTCCCAGCACAAGAGGAACCTGCGTGCCTCCATCACACCAGGAACTGTCCTCATTCTGCTCACTGGGCGCCACCGTGGAAAGGTGACAACAGTTTCTGGCATATGCCTCAATAATGAGTCAGTCTCATCAATTAGCAGGAGCACTTGCAGCTTCACACAGGCTGACTTTTTCAGGCTGTAGCATCAGTTGATGATGTCACATTACAGATGAATATTCTGTTTCAATGTCACCTGGTTTATCTTTAGTGGAAAGTCTACTCTGGGTGTCATAAGAGCAAGGATCTTGCTTTAGGACCAAATCAGCTCTGCTTGCCATAAGTTAAAACTTGCTGGAATCACGAGGTGTTATATTTATTTATTTATTTTTAGGTATTATGTAATCAAAAAACAAAACAAAAACTGTCACCCATAGAAGACTTAGTCAACCCCAAAGGGCATAGTCATGAGTTTTGTTAATGTTGGTCTTGTATACTGAACCATAATGGACACTTTTGTTTTTCAAATGGACAGAAATGTCACTGGAAGTTAGATTGGTACCTATTTGTGGTTCCCTCTAAGGCCCATTCTGAGCCATGAAAATTTTTAATATCGTGTAAATCTGTTGGCTTTGTTACTCTAGAAGAGCAAAAACAAATCCTCCACAGTTGGAAACTGCCTTCATGCCATATGAAGGATCCATAGCAGTGATAGCTTTGGTGTCGGTCATGTTTTGTTTGCAATTCATAGTTTAGTTCATTATAGAAGAATTTTCATAGTAATATTAATGAGTTAGTTTTATAGGGCTAGCAGGCAGTTCATGTCAAATATAAACTACATTGAACGTGAACTGCATCACTGCATGAACACGCCAGTGAAGCACTCAGTCTACAGTTAATGGACTTTGCCAAAAGAACCCAAGCTGAGGCATATTTCAGCATAGTTTGCTAATGATCTGTTGAGCATTATTTTCTGCCATGAATTATCATAGAACTTTAATTTAAAAAAACCAAAACACAAAAAAACCAGTGAATAGATGCAAAACACATGGTATCAGATACATTTTTCCTGAAAATAAACCTGCTGAAGGTTGCTTATCAAACACACTGGGTACATCACCATAATCACACCCTCACTACCACAGACATTGTCGCTCCTACTCTTGAATGCTGCATGGGCGAGTTATGGAAGCGAGCGTTCCCACACACTTCAAACTGCGGCTGACCTAAATAATGCTTCAGCTGTGGAACTGAGAGGCAGAGGCCCTTCATTAAAATTAGGAGAGCACGTCAAAAAGATTACTTTTCTCCAATCTTAATAACTTGGCATTAAAGCCGACTGAGGTTATTAAACTGGTCTACCCACTACCATAGTTAAAATGGTCTTATTCATGTTGACACAGGATATATGGAGCAATGGATGCCGTAATGTTAATTCTTAATTCTTTAATGCTTAAATTGCACTTTTTATTTCAGCGTGTGGTCTTCCTGAAGCAGCTCTCCAGTGGTCTCCTGCTCGTCACTGGTAAGGATGGGTTTTGTTCTTCTTTAAATACTGCCATTACTTCACAGTTATGCACATGGCAGTAGAACCTGTAATAAATTAAATTACAAAAAAGATGTTGAGCATCTTTTAAACTCATGTAATCTTTGTTTCCTTTGCACAGGCCCTCTTGCCCTGAACAGAGTCCCTGTGCGCAGGGCCCACCAGAAGTTTGTGATTGCCACAAACACCAAAATTGACATCTCTGGTATGAAGATCCCTAAAACCCTCAACGATGCCTACTTCAAGAAGAAGAAGCTGAGGAGGCCCCGTCACCAGGAGGGAGAAATCTTTGATACAGAAAAAGAGGTAATATATATATATTCTGAATTTTTACTGTACTGAAAATGAGCTTTTGGATTAAAAACGACTGACTCGTTGGTTTTCTTCACGTACAGAAATTCCAGCTGACAGAGCAGAGGAAGGAGGACCAGAAAGCCGTTGATTCTCAGCTGTTGGCCCTTATCAAGAAAGTACCTCAGCTGCAAGGGTACCTGCGCTCTTCCTTCTTCCTGTCTAATGGCGTCTACCCTCACAAGCTGGTTTTCTAAATGTGTTGAAATAAACAGTGACCGCTTCATGCCATGTCTCATCTGGTTTTTACTTAAATTATTTGCATATGGTCCTTAATAATTAACCTGGCCAATTCAGTAGCACATTGTAATATACATGTCCATCTATATGGGTCAACTATCCAAAGCAACAAAGGGTGGAGAAGTATCAGAAGTGGTGTGATTTTAAAAACATAGTAGCAACAATGAAAGCGAATGTTTACCAAGGTGGTTGAGGCCAGCTATGTTTGTGGTTTGGAGACTGAAACAAACACTGAAGACAGGAGATGAGGTTGATGAATAGGATTAGGGGTGAGTTCAACCTATGGACAACTCATGTTGATTGGCTATGAGGTGAGATCAAGATGATATGGATGAGCAGAGAAGTGTTCTAGCTGTACTCTTAAGGGGTCACTACAGTGGATAATCTCTCCATATAGCCTTTTGCTTTTTTGTTTTGCATGCATTTTTCATCCTCCTTGGTCTCATGTTTGGCACAAATTTAACAATATATTCTCTCCCTCCTGGCATTAATGTCTTGCCTCTAATGTTCTCCAAACTATTCACCCTGTCTTGTATATGATACGCCCCTCCTTCAATCTTCTGGTTGCTCTCCTGACCAGGAAAAAATCTTCACCTGCAACTCACCAGAATTTGAAGCTTGAGCCTACAGGGGTGTGGAAACTCCAGACCACAAGGGCTGGTGTCGTACAGGTTTTAGATCTCAACACATTTGAATCAAATGATTAGTTCATTACCAGGCCTCTGGGGAACTTCGAGACATGTTGAGGAGGTGATTTTACCATTTAAATCAGCTGTGTTGGATCAAGGACACGTCTAAAACCTGCAGGACACCGACCCTAAAGGCCTGGAGTTTGACACCTGTGAGCTACCAGGTGAGTGGAAGACTAAAGAGGTCAATGAAAAGAGAGGATTCAGGATCAACTGATTAAGCCATACTAAGAGCTTTATGAAGAAGATATGTTTTAAGCCTAATCTAAAAAGTAAAGATGGTGTTTGTATTTCCAATTCCAAACTAAGCTGGTTCCACAGAAGAGAGAGCTGACAGGTAAAGGCTCTGTTTGGGATGCTGAACAAATGTTAAAAAGCAATTCTACATATGAACATTTGAGGACATAATGATCAAAGTCATGGGTGCGGTCAAGGTAATGTTACTTAAAGTAAATGTAGACATTTCTAAGACTTTTTATGACTTAGTACAATAGCCTCACTTTTGTGTCAATTTAGAATAAAACCCTAAAAACACATGTACTTCAATTTGAAACATCTGGCTTTATGATTAAAGCTAGGCGTCACCTGAATAGTAATGGATATATATGCAATGTTTTCCCGCTTTATCCAAGGATAATGCATTGGAACAGAACCCTGTGACTCATCATTTAATGGATTTAATGAACTGAAAGACGCTTTGTCATATCAAGACCTGAGGAAGCACAGATTGGAAAACGCTCATCCTGTACAAATGTAACCCCATTACACCATCCTGGAAAGAGACTGGGAGTGGCACAAGTCATGATCATCTTGTTGATGGCGGGGTTATAGATGTGGCCTCAGTATGCAAGATAGTCACATTAACCAATCTGAAAGCTGAAATTGAGTGAAATGACCACAGCAGGCATTGGACCCAAACAGCTTAACAGCTATACTTTAATTAAAAAAATGACATGTCTAATGTAACAAGACAAAAATAAATACAAGTGTTTCATCTCTTTAACATGGCCACGTTTTAGTTTTTAGTTTGTTTTTTTTTTGTTTTAAATCTTCAAAAACAACAAAGTAGAAAGCAGCACAGAAAAAGGCAGCGGCCCCTTGCCAAGGAATGATAAGTGCCTTTTGTGGAGTCAGTCCGTATTGTATATGGTCAGCTGGTGTCGGGAAAACGCTTTCCCCTCCCCTCTCAGCCAGACTTAAACAGCAGAATGGCCACCTGACCCAAGTAGAAGTAAATGAAATGCTTCGTCTCATGAGTCACGTAACTGCCAAAGTTCCTCCCAACGATGCAGTGCCAGGTTGGGTTATACTTCTTGTCAAACTCCTGGGTGGAACAAAAAGTTAAAAAAAAAAATTTTTTTTTAAAGTGCACAAATGTTAAGCGGGTAAGACAATGCCTGCAAATCCTATATAAGACAAGGTGATGGTCAAAAGTCTTGTTTTTTCCCCCCCCTCTCAAACAGGTGAAGATTTCTTGCATTGATTACATTGTAGTAAAAATTATCTGACCATATCATGAACCATATTTTCAGATTATTCTAAAAAACAAAAAAACAAAAAACAAAAACAAAAAAAACCCCATCAAGAAATCCAATTTAAGCCTCCCCCCCAATCATTGGGCAGGGGTAACGGAAAGCACTGAATTTGGAGAAATACACTGGGTGGCCTAGTGTGACAGCTAAGTTTAGATGACATTTTCCACCTAGTCAAGGTAAAATATCTGGTCAGATACAAACATATACAAAAAGAGCTGCAAGAAATCACTGATCCCAAATTCCTTATGATATTGGTTTCTTTCCCTACACCACAGAGCTAAAGAATGTGGGCATGAGGCTTCTGAAGGACAGACAGTTCGAGAGGAACAGGTTTCCTCAGGAAGAGAGGAAACAATTGCAAATACCAGGCAGGGTGTGTAACTTGCAATGATGCACAGGATGGTTGAGTGCAAAAATAGCCTCAGTCTTCTAGATTTTGCCTGCATGCTTAAGTACAGCCTAGTTTGTGCTTTTTAAAAATGTTTTCTGTTTAGCTTTACCTTTTTAATATACGCAGCGATGTCTTTCTCGATATTGTACTTCTCCAGGGCCTGAGTGGCACACTCCACGGCGTCCTGCTGCATGTCCTCCGACATGTCGGCATTTTTGATCACTGCCTTTCTGTCAGACATGGTTGCCCTGGGAAACCAAAACACAGCGGTGAATTCATCATCCTCACAGGCACACTGGCACGCACACAATACCGCTAACTGGAGAGCCTGAGCATCCTAAGAGTCCTCATCATTGTCTGACTCAAGCCTTTAACTGCTTCAAGACTAGCGACAGAATAAGAAGGGGAAAAACGCCTATTTTAGTGACGACGCCGGTATTACATAATACCTGATACATAATATTTGAACTAGCTTTTTCTACGAGTGTTGCATAACTTCAATCAGCTGCAGGCTCGCTGGACGCGCGCTCTGCGTAGTTTCTATGGATACGCAGGACATTGCGATTATATAGTCTCACATTTTCCGAGATTTCAGCCACAAGCCTGTGAAATCAGACTGCACAAATTAAACCACATTGCTTCAACTGCCCTACGTTAGAAAACGGTGAGAATGGACGCCTGTCGCTATCTACTTCGGGGCATAAGTTATCAAAATAATACATCCACAGCTCCCGTTAAAACGTAACGTTTGTCAAAAACAGTACTTAATCTGAAGTAAGGTGTCAACAGGAGAGTGGTTTCCTAGCAAACACATGGCCACATGCACAAGCGATGATGATGCGTTAATTAGCTCAAGCACCATAACTAGCTGATCATTCATCCCGAATAAGAAAAAAGGAACAAACATCAGTTAACGTTACACGCAAACATCACGGCTTCAGTAACATTTGCAAGATATTTAATTAAAATCAAATTTCTGCATGCGAATTGGTTGATTTACCTACTAGTCTCTCGTATACTGTTTCTCTAGTTTTAAAGAGATGACCGCTCCTGAAGTGACAACTCCCGCGAAGTGGTTGACACAAAAGTAATGTGGGTGTGTAGCGGTAAGAGACTGCTGGCTCGACGAGTTCCGATTGGCTGATATTAATGCACAAAGCGCCATCATTGGCTGACTCGGGCCTATCTTGCTGGTATTTCTGCTTGCATTTTATTTCAACCCATCATGCCTTGCGGTTGCTGCTGTTGCCGTGGCAATCGTTGTAAATAACTTATACCACTACAGGATTTACGACAAATTAATTTACCTCTTTTACAAAAAAAATTCACAATTAAGTTAAAAAGTTGTATTTTTCTGTCGTTTAAATTAATTGTTTTGTAAGAGAAATAAAAAACAAACCAAAAAACTTAATGCCAGAGTACTTGAAATTTCTTTCTAGTCGTCTTATCGTCGTTACGACATAATTATTTTTAATGCCAGAGTAGCATAAGAAAAATAATATATCTCTAAATTATTCACTCATATTTACATTAACATAATTGAACTTAAAACCTACGAAATAAAAACAAAACAAACAATCAAACAAAAAAAAAAACCTGTTGTATATAAGGGGGAAAAACAAACGAACACAAATAGCCCATAGAAACAGTTTTTGGTAAATGCGACGTACCTGGAAAAAGTTGCCTGCAGTAAACAAACCATAATCGTTGAAAATATGGCTTTCAGCTTATATCCCAAGGGTTATGTCATGAATATGGTATATGAACTATTACCTAGTGATTTACATTATATTTTAAATGTTATAATAAATATAAATAAATAAAAATACAAATATGGTTTTTGTATTGCATTTACTACACTCATACATACAGAAAATTAACAATTTGCATTAACCTCACAGATCCTTTTTTTCTTAAACATTTTCTGACACGTTTGCGTAAACATGTAAAACATATTGTAAGTTGTTAAGTTTTATCTTAATTCAAATATTCAAGTTTTGCATCTTTAGTCTATCCCCTTTCAAAAACAAAGTGTTGAAGATATGATTGTGGTAACCTTCACTACATAGATTTGTTTCACACAAAATAGATTACTCAACTCTACCAGTGCAGTCACACAGCAATGGAGTAAAACAAATATACAAACGAAAACCCCACCAAAACAACTAATTTGTCAAAAGATTTCAATGCCAATTTTGTCCCAAACCAGTTGTATTTGTAAATAACCAGCCTAGCCTGTGAATCATAAATTCCTTGCATGTTCCCTTATAATTTCCAATTGGTCTGCCCAAAGTAGAAAACAAAAATACAATAATATATAAAAAACTATAATTTAAAAACCTTGCACAACTAAAGCAAAGTGTTAAAGAGCACTGTTGTCGAGGGGAATGCTCTGATGACCACAGTCTTCATCGTTTGTGATGCTGAACAAATGTAACAGGAGCCAGTCAACAGTAATTACTTCTTGCAGGTCATTATCCTTTTTTTGGCTTATCAAAAATTAAAAGGTACATATGAGGTAAAATAAAGACATAATAAATTACTACTGAAGATGATTTTAAAAATCTGTTTAACCCCTTAGCAGTCGGACGTACCGCCCACGGTACGTCCGACTGCTAACCTTATAGGCAAAATTTGTAGGACTGCTAAGGGGTTAAAAACTGATGCAAATGCCTGACTGTGAAGAATTAAGTCTTAAATTAAATTTTTCTTTCAAAGCATTGTCATGTTTATATCATAATATCATGACTGGGGAAGAAAATTAAAACAAATTAAAATTGTTTCACATTATTTTCTATAAATGTCATGGCTAAGTAGGGATAAGAGTAACACACCAGGAAGCATTTATTTTTTTTAAGTTCTTTTCTTTTAGGAGAATTGTGGCTTTAATTCCAGATCTAACTGTAAAGCTGTCCTTTGCTTCACTCGCTGCGATCCTTCGGCTCTCTGTATTTGTACTGGATGTAATCAAAGATGTCTTTCTCACTATCCACCAACAGAGGCTCCCCTGCCATACCTACAACAGAAGCACAAAGGAAAACAGCTCATGTTAAAAGCTTATAGTATGAATCACTGGTTGGTGATGAATGATATATATGTTGCTCAGAGCTAGAGAAGAGTTCAGGAAATTCCGTTTTTTTCCTGTTGTTTTAGTCGTTGTTGTTGTTTTTTTGGAACTAACACTCACCAGTGACCCCCAGTGGTCGTATAGTGTACTCGTTGAGAGTGAAGCCCTTCTCCAGTGCGTGGGTCCTCATATTTTTGTTGAAGATGTCACTGCCAGTAAAATACAAAACTCCACAGTAGTACTGATCCTTGGGAATTAACCTTTGAGAATAAATAAAAGACTGTCAGTGAGCAGGAACAAACTACATGTTAAAATATCAAATACAAAAATAGGGTTGCCTCTTTACTGTCTGTGCTGAATAACTGGGAATGCCTGGTACTTGAAAAACAGTACTGGCATTGTTTTAATTACAGCATCACAAATAGATCCCATAAATACACAAAATTAAACATAAGAGCATAGTGCTTAATTATGATTACACATAATCTTGACAAAGAATCCTGAAGCAACAAAATGAATCCCATGAGCCTGTATAAATGTTTCAAATGTAAATGACCAATTTAAAGAAGGGCACCTAATGTCAATACGTCTGTGAAGGTATTCCTCGTCATCCTCATCATTCTGCTGCAGCTGGCAGACTCCCTAGAAAAACAAGATCCAAAACATCATGACCACAGTCATGCGCTACAGCGACTGGGTGCAGTTACAGTACTAACTACATTACAAATCAGTACCTCCTTCAGTAAGACAGAAAATAAACAAGATGCCTCACAAGATGCCTCACCATGAACTTGGTGTCTCCTTTGGACAGTGTGTCAGTCACAAACCCGATGGACTCCAAATGCTCAACCACAGCATGAAGGAGTTTTGGCTGCAAAACAGAAACAGAAGAAAAAATAAGATTAAAAAGACATGTCACCCTGTAATTAAACTGAGTGATGGAGTTAAGTCTTACCTGCTTCTCAGTCTGAGAGGTGTAGTTTGGATGGGTCAGCAAAATATCAATATCACCACTCGATGCAGCACCTGGAAGTTATGAACAGTATTAAAAAGGCTCAAGTGGTATTGCAACCTAAAACCTATGGACCAGTAACTTGATAAGAATACCTCTCCTGTAGCTTCCACAGATTGTTCCAATATATTCTTGATCAACTTTCTCCAACTCTCCAAGAATAAGAGTCTGGGTAAATACAAGAAATCACAGTGTAAGGGCAGTCTGTATGAAAAAAAGCATGTAAAGATATTAGAAATATAAAAATGCTTGATCACCTCCATCTTTTCCATTTCAGCTCTTGGAATCCTTTTCTCAAACTCTTCAAAGTACCTAAAGACAGCAAAAAACAACTTTAATATCTGAAACATTTTTTCAATATATTTGAAATACATCAAACCATGATCTGGATGACCAAGAACCTACAAGACAACATCTGGAGAACATTTAGTCACACTTACTTCAGGCCAATCTGTTGATGATGGTTTAGCTTGTGCTCGATCTTTTTCAAATCTAAAAAACAAACAAAAAAACAAAATCAAGAATCCTTCTCATTGAAAATTATTCTATATTTACTTACTTTTTGGTCTTTGCCTATTTTTGTGGATTGTAAGTAGAGAGGACAGGAAATTAGAGAGAAAGAGAGGGAAAGAAATGCAGCAAAGGGCCACAGGTCAGCTTGAACCTTGCCTGCTGCGTTCTAGCCATGTGGCATGTGGTTGCCTGCTCACGGCACTAAGCTAAAAAAAGAAAAAATTATACTAACCACACAAAATATGTATCAATTTTAATTTGAGGCAAATGCTACACAAACCTTCTAAAGTCTTCACCCCTTCTTCAACAAACTTCCTTGCAGCAGCAGGTCTGAAGTGAACATAAAGCACATACAATGTTACAACAGAAAGTGAATAATATACTTGGTATATTTTAATTCTGAATATGAACATATAATTGTTTTTATCATAAGTACAGACTGAACATCCAAACAACCAAACAACATACCCAATTCCAGTAACTCTGGTGAGGAAATTGATGGAAGAGCTAGTGTCATCGTTTCGGATCTGTTGGAAGATATAAATGTAGCGCATCAGTCGGTGTAATAACTCAGTACATATACATAAAAATAACTATTAAAAAAATATTTTTACAGTGTGACATCAGTAATGTGATATCACATTCTTAGACTCACCTTTTCCAGTTTCCTAAGTTTGCCAGTTTGCAGAAACTCATCAATCTTCTCTGCTATTTTAGCTCCAACACCATCCTGTTGAAATGTGACAACAATCATGAGGCTGCTGCTCAGCAGTGTGATCTGCAGTGATTATGTAAGATGTGCAGAGAAGCTGTTGACAAACAGGCTACAACAGAGGCCATCACATAAACAGCAGCATGAGCACATTAGTGGTAGACAAAATAAATAATGACGGGGGTGCTGCCAGGTTTAACAATGTCATCGTGACAGTGAAAGTCACAGATTTTAAAGCACATGGAGAGGATCAAAGATGATCTCTGATTTGACAACATGCAAAGAGAAATCTGCTGTCCTATATGCCAATTCTTTTGTTAAGAAAGAAGATATTTCTTTCATTTATATTTTTTTATCTATCAGTCTGCCTATGACAACATATACAAACATACCAGTTTCTTGGCCTCTTCTCCATTTTTGATTTTGTGAGGGTACTTAGAAATCGTAGATGCTGCTTTCCTAAGCACAGAAAAAAGGGACCGTGTAAGTCTTAGCAAAAAACATATGTAAAATTGAATTAGGCCACTTTTTCTTTAGGTTAATTTCTTTTAGATCGTAAGTGTAAACATGACAATGCTATTCTACTTAGTGTATTGTATATTAAATTAACAATGTATCATGTACACCAAGCCAGTGATACAGCATACAGCAAAAACCTAATCATAAATCCAGAAAGTTTATCTTGCACTCGATGCTTTTCTGGTGGACTAGAACACTAGATCATAGTTCTCCTATTATAGTTTATCTTAATTGGCTACCTGCTAAATACAAAATCAAATTTAAAATCCTTTAAAGTCCTGAATGACTGGACTCTATCCTATTATGTCAGCAGAGTCCTTCACTCTCGGACTGGAGGCTTACTTGGCTTACTGGACCCTAAATAACAAAGTTGTAAAGACTTCAGCCATCAGCCCCTTTCCAGTGGAATCAGCTTCCAGTTTATTACTGAAGAGACAGTCACCCTCTCCACTATAAAACTTCCTTTTTGATAACGACAAGGCCTGCTCTGGGGCTTCCCATGATTCAGTTAACCTCTTTTAACACTTTATGTGTTATATACCACTAATGCATGTTATGATTCCTTTTTTACCACCTCCAAGTTCCTGTTGTTGTAAACAGGTCACTACAGACAGGCTCCCCGAACCTAGTTCTACTGGAGGTCTTTTTGGAGGTCCCCCTGTTAAAAGGGGGTTCTTCCTGTGAAGTGCTGCATATCCGATCATGTGGGGTTCACTCTAATAATGTAGTTTTTAGCAACTAAAAAAAAAAAAAAAGAGTTATTTCTCTTAACTCTAAGTGTTTTAAAGAAATTCTAATTCAATAAAATGTTTCTTTTAGCATGAGTCTATTCTTAGTCATATAAACGCTGTAATCTTTAATATGGGGGCGTTGTACTAACACCATCATTGATGGCTGAGTGGACGTAATACACTTGAAACGCTTGTTTTATGAAGACCAGTGACAGGGACAGGTTTTCACATAATTATGAACTTACCTGTATGCATTGTATTTGTGTATTGCTCTGTTGACATTTTTCTCGTAGTTGGCCAATTCTGGAAACAGAGGCAGTGTTAGGACAATGCAAGACTTCACATTTCCCTCATGCTAGTTTAATCTTCTGCCAATTCAGCTGAAGGTAGAAGGCATTTAAATGACAAGGCAGATAGCGAGCGAACCAAATCACACGTGTAAGTAATCCAGATAACTAGATCCAACAACTACAACTCCATATTTAAAATATTTTGATACCCGCTAGTCGTGCAAAGTTAGTTTACCAGCACGGTGGGTATTTTTATTCAATAACAGAACCCAACTTCCATGCTAGCTACGGTTAGCTGAGTTCAAAAATCTCTTAACGTACCGACGAGAAAGTCTGTTATTCCCTCATTTAGCGACTCCTGTGGCGCTTTCCTCTTGCTCATTTTGAATCTGACAGTCTCTCAAATAAACGCTGGAAAGATATATGGGCGTTTATGTAGGCACAAGAGCCTGAAGCTCGTTTTATTTCCAGCTAGCCTCCTACTAGCAGGTTGGCTTAGGCTAGCTCTCACGCCAAACAATGAACGATAATGTAGAGGGGGCGGGGCGTGCGTAAAACGTCATCGTTAGCCACGGCGTTCACGTCTGCTTCAACTAGTATAATTATAGTATAAATGTGACACAAAATGAAACGGAACAATCAAAATTTACTGAGTTCTAGTGTGTTTCTCTATTTATTCATGAAATCAAATTAACTAAAAAAAAAAAGCTGTAGTGTATTGTTTGGTAGGTTTTAATATTCCACGTTACAAAAATGATGTAAGTACGAACACAATAACTTCACAAAAATGTTCTTTATTATAAATTATTAGCAGTCACAATCATAAGTCATTAGCACATCCATACAAAAGAAATGACATCTCAGCAAATGACACCTAAAGATGCTCCGATAGTAAGTTTGGACAATATCTGCCTCTCTTTTCTACATACAAGTGAGCAGCATGTATAAAGGACAAGTTTCACGTAAGAATCGTATCACTTCAATAATATTTTGTTTTTTGTATTTTGTAATAAGCTTACAAAATTATTTAATCACATTTGAAAAAAATAAAAATTTCACAACAATCAGCGTAATGTTACCTAATGCAAATAAAAAATGAAAGTTAATCTCAATAAAGCAATACATTTACTTAGCCACTTCCTTCCCTCCTTTTCCTCGTGTGTTAGGAATCTATTTTTACAAAAACTCTGTCTCTGGAGAAAATTTTTATGGCTTCTTCAATTTCAGAAAGCCTACAGTCAAGTTGGGCCCGGCGTGAGCGAATACTCAGACTGTCAGCTTTGAGAGGCAGGGAGAGCAGCTCGGTCACCAGGGAGCGGTGGGCTGAAGAAAAAAAATGTCAGAAACACATAATTAGTGAGGCAAATACTGATGTTCATTCTGTACTATTTACTGTACTTACTAAGCTGCTGTTATTATGATGGATGGCTGAGCACCGGAGGAAGAAATAATAGGCTTTTCAACAGACTGACAGCCCAGTCTTTTTTTTTTCCTACAGCAGTGGATTAGTTTGCCATATTTATAGTCCAGATTGTTTGGCCAAACTGACGAAAAATCAATCCAAGAAAAGAATTTTACTAGAAACAAAATTGTTTCTGCAACTTAAAGGTGGTGATCCAACAACAACTAAGCCTTGATACACGCTTCATAAAAGACTTCCTGGATTTCTCAACACACACTCCAAAGGCTCAGCCACCACAGCCCATTACTAGATTTTAGGACTAATGTACAAGCAGTACACACACACACAACACTGCCAAGTTAAAAGCACTGTGTAATATCTTTAGAGATCACGGGCATTCCCGTGGCAGTTATCTACATGTATGAATGTAAGGGAGGAATCATACTCTCTTTTAGGGACTTCAGAGTCTCCTGTCTCTCATTCTCAGGCATCAAGGTGTGTCCAGTTGGGACCGTAGGATCAGGAGTATTCCTCCTCCTTTCTTCTTTCTCTTTACGCCACTGCTCCTTCCTTTCCTGAAGGCTATATTAGTGTCAATGTCAAAGGGCAGAGAAAAAAAAAACAAGGGTGTCAGAAAAGTCAAAAGTATCTAGTGGTGAAATATCATGAGCATTAAGCACACTGACACTGAAGATTTCAATAACACTCACTATTGAGGAACCTGGCCCTTGACTGCACTGGGTACAGGCTTATCTCTGAGGTTTGTCAGTGACTGGGACCGCCGAATCACAGTTTTTCCTGCAGTCCGGGCATTATGTTTTATGAAGTCTATTGTCTGACCTTGAACCTGTAACTGCAATTTAAACAATCTCTAGAAGCATGTTTAAAATGTAGATGTTGAACTTCCAATAAAACTTTAGCAATTCTCACTTGCAAGTCCAGGTCCTGTGTAGAGTTGCAGGAGGCCCGACGCTGCTCAGCTACACGTGAAGTTTTGGACTGTGGCCTTTGTGGGGAAGCAGACCCACCATAGGAATGCGCCTTCAGAAAGTTTTGACACTGTGGCTTAACACTTGGACTGGAAACCTTCACAAAAGAAACAGACTGGTCAAAACCTGATGAGGAAAAATGAAGTGCTCATGGACGGGCATCTTTCACACAGATATGCTTCTTGCCTGCAGCTGAGCCATCACCCTCGATGGGACATTCTGGTATTTTGAGGCGGTCCAAAGAGCTTTAACTGGAACAGCACGTGATTGTGCTCTCTCAGCCTCCTGCTCTTTGCAACGTTTCTGGATCTCTCGCAGTCGACGGACATTCTCTTTACCAAAATCATGCATCACTCGCTGTTCTGAGGGTAAGAAAGGCTGTCTTAATTTTCTTTTAACAAATGCAATGATTCAAATTCATTATTTTCATGCTTTCTATAATAAGATGCTAAAAAATACCAAAAGCTAATACATCAGTGTTCAATCTTAATAACTAGTAGTTTAAAAAAAAAAACCCCACTTACTCTGTTTTGGAACAGGAGAGATAGAAATACTGTCTATTTTTAGTAATTCCCCTACAACCCCTTTCTGACCTCGTTCCAGGATATGGGTAGCATTGGGGCTGATGCGGGGGTGTTGTGCTGGGGTACGAGCACTGTAGCAACCTGGGTACAACACAGGATCTGGAGCAAGGGGCCCTGAAAGCAGGGCCAAAGTACCATCATGGTTTCCCTCTAAACGACCCCGAGCTTGAGGAGAAGAGAAAAATAAAATAAACTTGTTAAAACTGGTTATTTGGTCTGGATAAACCAAAAATATTGGTTTATCCAGACCAACTCACCCTATGGCTCTTTAACTTTGTCTCCAGACCATTCAGCCTGAGCTGACCCTCTGATGGACTCATTTCTAATAAACAAACATCTTCAGCTGTGCACCCTCGAACTTGGCCTCCTGTCTTTTTGTTAGTGCCACCATCTTCAAAGTACAAATCACAGCAGGTCTCATTACTATCTTATAAACTTCCCTTTTCACTTTAGTTGCCATCCTTCCATCACAACCCCCCAACTCATATCTCAATGCTGCAATATCTAAATAAAGGATTGTGTTAAAAAAAATTATTACACCACAGTCACGTGGCTGCACCCCACCTGAAGCTGGTCGCTTGTAGTACTGGGGAAACAGAGAAGGATCCGGGGGAATTGGCCCAGATATAGACGAAGGTCCCTCACACATCTGAAAAAGACGATGTGAATTATTTGCTAATGTTACTTAAAAACACGTAAGACTGCTGATTTAATTTGGCCTGCACCTTTCTAATAAAAAGTAATTAACCCAACTCATATAGACTATACAGAAGAGCAGCTTCTGTACCTAATTCAGCTGATCGGAATACAGTGATTCTTCAGAATATAGTAGTGGAAATACATGTTCTTCCTCTGTTTCAGGGCTTGCTAAAGGCTAACTATTGCTATGTTAATTACCTCGTTGTAAAGTTATCTCCTCAACACCTTTTCTTTCGACGTATTCAGGATAAGATACAAAACACACACGTGTTTAGTCACGAATAACTTGCAGGTAATCTTAACGTCGCTGCAACCAGCTCCATTTAGGCTAAAGAAGAGACGGTAATCGATTTACCTCTGTCCCCTGTTGTTTATCAGTTGATTGTTTTCACGCACGCTGATGACGCCGGCACTTGTTGCAGTACTCCTCACCATGGCAACGGAGCAGGCGCACACAGAAATAGAGCTGCCGGGCAAATATTATTAATCGAAAAGCGTATACAGCGATCAAATTCCTGAAAGAATAAGACAAATACAAAGCGCTGGGCTTCTTAAAACACAATAGTAACTGTAATCAAAACTAAAACCTCTAAATGGTTTCTGCAGTTTTAAACCTTTAATCCTGTCGCTTTGTATAAGGAGGTATAGTGACCCTGCGTGTTGTCTTTCAGGATCAGCAGTACTCTCTTCTAATTAATTATCGAGCTACACTCAAAATCTTAACAATCCCCCTAATCTTAGCTAATGCAAAAATAAATATAAATATGACCAAATGTCTGTCAGAGCGTGCAGCCTAAGTACACAGGAGGTACCCAGTTTGCCTGACATGCTTAACTCAGGGTTTATAAACCCAATCATTCGAAGGGGACATTAGGTAGAGGTCATTGTCATTGACTCCAGAGTGCACTTCTAGTAAATATAGCAGTTTCACAGTTATTATTCTCCCTTTTTTTTTCCAGCACTACAGAGAATAAAACTTTTCACTAAGGTACTTGTACTGAGAGTATGTTTACCACATTTCTTTGTTACTGGAGTCCATGAACTTTAACAAAAATATGAAAGGTTAGTGTTTGTGGAATTATAGAAACAATTATTCAGTGTAGCAACCCTAATTTTCTAATATAGTATACACTTATATAAACAGAGTACTATGTGCACTGGGTTCTCCTGTAATAACATCCATTTCTCAGTAACAGTATTTTTAGCACCCAGATCTCCATTCTGAAGGTATATACTCAGAAACATATAATCTTACTTTCTCAGGGAATTTCACAATTAAAGACCACACAGATCACCATGTGTCCAATAGTCTTTAATAAAAGGAAAAACAAAACAAAACATCGTAGCAGTTTGTACTTTGGGTTTTGGATTTTGGGTTTCAGCAGAAAGGGTGGGTGGGGAGTGGGGTTGAAGTATCGCGTTATTTCTGAGAGAGTTGTAATAAAGCATTAAATCTTATCAGATTCTTCCAACCAAAGTCCCTCTATTTCTGTGAGCTGGTACATTTACACTGAAATCTCTAAATTATTGTCTATTCTCTCTCAGGCATTATATATCATTTCTCCCCTCCATTTTCTCTTAATGTATGAAGCTGGCCGTGTTTAAATATTTTTAGACTCTTATATACACTGGAATAACTAACCTCTGAGACCTCTTAGTTACATTTTTCAACATATCAACATATTTTTCTCTATTTCAAATGCTGCTGGGCATTAATTTATTCTCTAATGAATGATTAGGCCTGTGTGCGTCATGGACACAATGTGCATATTGCAAACATTTTATAATAAAAGAGAGATTTGGTGCCCAACGTCACTTGCACAACGGCCCCGCCCTCTGCTGGAGGTCTGACCTGCGCCTGCTCA